CAGTTGGGCTTGAGACTCAAGATAGATCAATTGGATTAAACCGACCGAAAATACAAAAACTTTTTTTATTAAAAAGATTCAGACCCAACCCAACCATATGGATCGGGCTCAGCCCATCTTCATCTTTGTCTTTGTCGGCAAAAACCAGCAGATGCAGGATGTGAATTAATTCAGTCCTGCATGCAATGCATAAAAGAGTAGATGCAGGAGTCAAGGATGATTACCTTGCATAAGAGACAGATGTTAATACCATTATTGGTCTCTTGGCGTGGCTGAGAGGCTACTAGAATTGCTCCGGGTGTTGTTGCTGAAGGTTATGATGTAGAAGTTATAATTGCAAAAGGGAAGCTTATGGCGCTGGACTTGTTTAAGGTGCAATTACTCATGGTGAAATGAATTGCTATTGAAGGAGAAGCATGACTGTTGGTATAGCAGATTGCTGTTAGTGAAAGAAAAAAATGAGAGGGAGATGTTTGGTGGTAAAGAGGAGATGTGGGGAGGTTGATCTGAGAAGGAGAAGAAAACAAATGCTGTAATTAATGATTTTTTTTAACTCTCTTTTCACTTTAATTTCTTCTTTCTTAATGCACGAGATTCACCTTTATTTATAAAAAGATGGATATTTGATCTTTATTGAAAATAAATCTTCGCCATTAATTCAAATGAGAATGATCTTAATCATTTGGCAAAAATCATCATCATGAATTGTAAAATTTGGCAGCAAATATTAACTGAATCGATGTTTTTTGGGCAGCATTATGGTAGCGATAGAGACAAATAACCAACAAGAATCACACTCGAGTGTAGTATGGTGTCAACCTACAATAACAGTGTTTTATTTATTTTATTTGATGTAGAAATTAAGCATTAAATATTTTTGAAAAGTAGTCACTCAATCAGCTTTTCAAGTACAAAAGGTTAAAGATAATGAATAACAATGAGACGACAAATTGTTTGGCATTTCTTTTTATTTTTTATTTTTGTGTTGGTCAAAATGACATCATTTTGTACCAATGTATCGTTTCATTTAAATGAAACAATGCCATTTTGATATCCTTAGAGATTTGACTAAAATTTAATTTAGTCCCTTTTCTTTTGATTTTTTTAATTACATCCTTAATTGACTTCAAAGTTTTAATTTTATGTGATTTTACTCTTACCAAACTCAAATATCAACCTTGAAGTTTAACACCTTTTCATTTTGATTTTAGATTTATACAAATTAATCCTTAACTGACCATTTAACTTTCAATTTGCATTATCACTTATGTTTTCAACTAAATTGAGCTATTGAAGTTTAATGTTTTTTTCAAAAAGGTTTTTAGTTGTAAATTTATTTAATTTAAACTTTAATTGAATTCAAGTTTTGATTTTTTATAATTTTATCCTTGATTTCAATCAATTAACTTTGTAAAAATTAAGTTTGGTCATCTAAAATTCCAATCTTCTTGATTAAGTCTAAATTGGGCTCCCAAACTTAATTATTCACTAATTAAGTCTTTAATAAAATTTATTTCACCCAATAAAAGTATAATTAAGTCATGACACCTAATTAAACATTTTGTTTTGACTCAAATTAATTTTTAAACATAACTAAAATTTTAATTTGGCCAATGATTAAATTAAATTGACCTATTTAAAATCTAATTAAATCCTTTGACTTAATTTTTATGTAGATTCATTTAATTTAACCTTGAATTTGTATTATTTCTTTAGTCTTGGGTATAATAGGGTGTGATTAGGCTTTTAATTTTATCTAAAAATCTAGTTTGATTCTTCTATATATTTGAAACCCTCCTCAACTTGCTTTTGTTAAGTTTCTAGTTTTATTGTTGTTGTTATTATTATAATTAATTTTTATTTTAAAAAAAAAGGTATTTTTTTTCAAGGAGAAACCCAAAAATAGGTTATGATATCCTTTAAAGTAATAAAAACTAGCATCCAAAGGCCTTTTCATACTCGCACCCTATTTTTTTAGTTATACTCAAGTCAATCAAGAGATAATTTGGTATTTTAATAAATAAAAAATATAATTAAAAAATAAAAAATGGTTGGTGTGTGTAACACACATGTTAGTGTGCAAAGAACCTTTGTTGTCTTTAGACGACATGTAAGGCATCTCCTGACAACTAAACATAGCTTTCACGATGGTTTTGAGAGCATCACATCGAGCTCTTCCAGATGGTGGGGTGCCGTATGTTGGTGGAAGATCAATAATGGAACTTTGGCATACTATTTTTCCTCTCCTCTCTCTATTCTCTCTCCTCGCCTTAAGTTTTGTGTCTATCATTCCAAGAATAAAATGTGCTAAAAAAACTTTAAATTTATTAACCTTTGTTTACCTTATATAAAAACCTTTCATTTTATCATTCAAATCAACATCAAATACAATGTCAAGAACTCCAATCCCAATCAAATGTGTTTTTGCAAATTCCAACACCAATATTTCATATGCTTTAACCAACTCAACTTTCACTAATTGCTAAAATTGCTTTAATTTTTCTAATTGATTAATTAACAATCACATTATTATGATTTATAAAAATGACATTTGATGAGGTTGGTGATGTTATAGGAGTAGTAGGAGACAAGCATAGTTAATGGAGAGGTTAACAACATTAAGGATAATGAAGTTGGTGTTTTTAATGATATCCAGATCGATCGCGATGAAGCAAGCAAAAATGTAGGCAATTAAATCGATTCAAGACAAATATTGTAGTGTTTAGGTGAATTTTTAGAGGCATGCCTATCCTTTGAACTAATCTATTTTTCTATATATTTGTTTAGGTTTGAGAGAGAGAGATAGAAAGTCAAAGAGTGTGAGAGGTCAGTCAAAAATAATATATGATATATACTTGTGTGAAAATGTATTTTTTAAAAAAATTATTAATGAAAGATCTTGATGGTTAAATATGTAAATGATATATTTAAATTGATACAAAAAATTATCATGGAACATGTTGAAAGTAAGAATAAAAAAAAAAGAAAAATGGTTGTTTTTGAATTTTAAAGAGTAATATTGATCAATAAATAAATTGATTTGCAGGGGTACCTTGATAATTGGGCCACTCACTTAAGCTAGAGAAGGGACTTCAAATATATTAAATAGGTACCTAATGCTAATAAAATTTTCAAGTTATGTTATTGTTATTATTATTGAATTTCATTCTCTCATTCTCGATATTATTATAAAAAATAAGTAAATAAATGAACAATAGAAAGAAAAAAATATAAGGATGAAAAAACTTGATTATGTATTCCTAGTAGAAGGCTAATGATATCAAATGACCTTTGATGTTGATATTAATGAATGATAAATTAAAGTATTTAAAAGAATTTTATTAATTATTTTAAGTTTGGATAACTAATGATATCAATGAATTATATTAATGTCAATATTTATATAGATTTTAATTAGCTAATTTGGGTTGAAATAACTAAGAATGTTAACGGGTTACATTGATATTGACATTGGTGTAAAACTTGATCAACTATTTCTATTAGAGATTTAAGCGGTTGGAATGACATTTCTGAAGATGAAATTGCTTCTTTTAATTTTATCATACATTCTACTTTTTCCCTTAGGTCCTTTCTACTTACGGTTCTTTACTTGGATTCCACTTGTTAACTTGGACTTACCTGTAGTTTGAAATTTTAGGTAAATAAGGTTTCATTTTTTATTTTTTTATCTAATTTTTTACAACAACTTTTTGTGAGAGACAATCTCTATATATATATTTTTTTTATTAATGTGGGTATTCGAAACAGCTTACGTGCACCTCGATTAATCCTATAGACCCTAAAATTAATAATCACGTAAGTGTTTAGTAGCTCTAAAATGACTTGAACTCATAATTATTGGGAGGACAAACTTAAAACCTGATTAATTGAATTACCTTTTAAAGTTCACATGTTATATACCTAATTATATAATAACTATGTTAGACCTTTACTTTTGATGAATGAATGTAAATAAACTTTTTAAATTAAGATGTTTTTATAATTTGATGCATATATTTGATTTATAATTTTCTTATGATACATGATTATATATGAATATTTTATAATCATTATTATAATTATAATGAAGATGATATATGATGTCATATATATAATTATGGTACATGATTGTAATTATATATATTGAATCTACTAAAATTCGATAAATAAATAAAAATCTCTTGTTTTAAGAAGTATATTACATTAAAATAGAATGTATGACTACTATAATATATTTTGGTCACCTATTAAAAAATCATATTTTTAAATTTTGGATCCGCAAACCAAATTTTAACATATTTTTAGCTAATAGCATGTCCTTAAATATCCTAAAAACCTTAATAATTTCAATCTTAACACACCCTTTAATTATTTTAAGATTTAAAAATCAGATTAAATTAAAAAGTTTTATGGGCTCTTCTCTATTTTCGTGGTTAAGGAGCAAATCAACCTTTATTGAATTTTGTCTCTAAAATCAATTTATTAACATCTTAATATTTTTTTTTATTGTTAGAACATGACTAATTAAAATTTTTCTATCTCCTCTTTCTTTTCAATAATTTTTTCTTTCTTTTCTTAAAAGACATGAATTAAAATATAATAAAAATAAAGTTTTAGTATTGAAATTTATATACCCTAAACTACATAAACCAAATAATGTAAATTGAATTTTTACATATTTCTTAAACAATCACAATGTTTCTTAAGTATAATCCACAATATTGTGTATCTTAATAAATATTGCAATCACAAAAATACAAAACATTTTATTTTCTTTTATAATTTTATAGTAATTCTTCCAGTTTTATAAAACCTAAAAGGATAGAAGCAAGGCTACCTAGTTATAAATAAAAATCATTTCTAATTATACACGTATCCCCAAACTCAAAATTAAGCAATTTGTTTTTCTATTAAGCTCCTATTTTAAAGTGTGATCTAAACAAAAATTAATTAAAGAACAGTGCTCGTTTCCTTTTCTTTTCTTTGGCTGTTTTCTTCACTAAAACCCCTCTTAAACCCTAACTATTATCCTCTGCATACTTTTTTCATAGGTGGTATTCAGAGAAGTTTGTCAAAGGACAGTGGGGGAAAGAGGAGTGTGTTTCTGAGTGGCAAAAATACAGAGCTTGCCTTTCTGTATCTTCCATTTCCCTTACTTTCTTTTTCATATTTTCTCTTTAAAAATCCTGAATCCCATTGTTCAACATTTATAATTTTATTCGTTTATGTTTTTGTTATAGGAACATTTGGATGATAAGCATTTGAGTCGTTTTTTGGAAGCTGAAATAGTTCCATCTGATTTAGGAAAGCCAGTTGACGGTGTTTCTCAGTGAATTTTATACTTTAATCTTTATTTAACACGCTAGAGAACAAGTTAGAAGGTGAGTGCATTAGCTTTTGTGGGTTTGCTGCTTGTTTGTTTATATTTTTTGTAAGATGTGGTGTTGGATTAATTCGATCAAATGGTTTACTGGGTTGTTTGAGTGATGTGATTCTATGAAGAAATTGATTGCAAAATATTTTGATGAAAAGGTCTATCTGTCTCTATTTAATATTTTGATGAAAATGTCTATCTGTCTCTATTTATGTATCTGTGATATCTCCATGCTGTAGCTCCTCGCATGGTTTAAATTCTGTTCATGCTAGGTACATGTTCAGCCTAAAAGATTATCGTGCTTCAATTACAAAAGAAGAATCGGTAATTGTTATTATGAAATATCAGCTCATTTGTCTGTGTTTGCGATTCTATAGAAATGATGGATTAAATCAACATCTCTGGCAAACCAAGAACGTGCGTATTTTACTTTGACAAAATGTCTTCCTTGCATTTTGTGTTTTTGCTGTTTTTTAGCAAGGAAAATATAGGATGAATATACTAGTTATTGATTTTCGTTGACTGGTGATAATTGTTGTTTTCTTCAGGCAATAAATCTGCAGAACCTTCTAGCAAGCAAAACTGATAAAATGTATAATGATGGCATCTGGATGCAGACTATTATTACCATGCGCTAAATTGCTGGAGATGCATATCCATTGAATCTAGAAATTTATCTATTCTTTTATTTTTGTTATTTCATTGTGAGAATTTTCAATTTTTTTCTATTCAAACGCTTCTATTAGATTTCTTTAAATATATGTCAACATGCCTATTAAATTACATATGTTACATTGACTTGCACATCAAATATTTATTTCTCTGATCGGGTTTTTGCACTTTAATTTTTTTTTATTCGAGCAAACCTTTGTATGTTTATGTATATTTTTTTATTTAAGTGTTTGTGCTTTCAAAAAAATTATTGATAGTGTATATATAATTTACATATGTCAATTTTTTTCTTTTTATATACATGTTAAGCTTCTAATATATCATTCTGACAAGATTTTCAATCCAAAACCACAGAAATTTTATTCTAAAATGCTCTTATAATCCAGACAAATTGAAGGCTTTCAAAATGATCCTTAAATCTTTTAGATTTTTTTGGTTTTTTATTAGATTTTTTGGCTAAATATTAAAACAAAGATAGATTAAAAATTAAGAAAAAACTATTAGGGTGTGTTAAGCAAACACACTCTTAATCTAAGAAATTGGTCAGTTGGGCCTGAGGCCCGAGGCAAATCAATTGGATTCGATCGAAAACACAAAAACTATTTTTTTTTTTAAATAACTTATACCCAACCCAACCATATAAATAGGGCTCAGCCCATCTTAATCTTCGTCGACAAAAACCAATATATACAGGATGTGAATTAATTCAGTCCTGCATGCAACAAAAGAACAGATGCAGGAGCCAAGGATGATTACCTTGCATAAGAGATAGATGTTAATACCATTATTGGTCTCTTGGCATGGCTGAGACGCTGCTAGAATTACTCTGGTCATTATTGCTGGAGGCTATGATGTAGAAGTTAGAATTGCCAAAAAAAAAGCTTGTGGCGCTGGACTTGTTTAAGGTGCAATCACTCATAGTGAAAGGGGTTGCTATTGAAGGAGAAGCATGACTGTTGGTACAGGAGATTGTTATTGATGAAAGAAAAAATGAAAGGGAGATGTTTGGTGGTAAAGAGGAGAAGTGGGGAGGTTGATCTGAGAGAGAGAGAGAAAATGCTATAATTAATGATTTTTTTAACTTTTTTTTCACTCTGATTTCTTCTCACTTGATGCATGAGATTCACTTTTATTTATAAAAGATAAAAAATGGATATTTGATCTTTATTGAGAATAAATCTTGGCTCTTAATTCAAATGGAAATGATCTCAATCATTGGGTAAAAATCGTCATCATAAATTGTAAAATTTGGCTGTAAAGGTTGATTGGGTTGATCTTTTTTGGGCATCATCATGGTGGCTACATAGGCAAACAACCGACAAGAATCATATTGGGGTGTAGTATGGTGTCAAGCCACGAGAGTGGTGTCTTGTTTGTCTTATTTGATGTAGAGATTATGCATTAAATATCCTTGAAAAGTAGCCACCCAATCAACTTTTCGAGTACAAAAGATTACAGATGATGAATAATAGCCAGATGACAAGTTGTCCGGTATTCTTTTTTTTTTTTGTTGGTCAAAATGACATTGTTTTGGTTAAAATGCATCGCTTCATTTAAATGAAACGATGTCATTTTGATATCTTTAGAGATTTGACTAAAATTTAATTTAGTTTCTTTTCTTTTGATTTTTTTTAATTGCATCCTTAATTGACTTCAAAGTTTTAATTTTATGTGATTTTACCCTTGCCAAACTCAAATATCAATCTTGAAGTTTAACACCTTTTCATTTTGATTTTAAATTTATACAAATTGATCCTTAATTGACCATTTAACTTTCAATCTGCTTTATCACCTATGTTTTCAACAAAACTGAGCCATTGAAGTTTAACGTCTTTTTCAAAAAGATCTTTAATTATGAACTTCTTTAATTTAACCCTTAATTGAATTCAAGTTTTGATTTCTTATAATTTTATTCCTGATTTTAATCAATTGACTTTGTAAAAATTAAGTTTGGTCACTTAAAATTCCAATCTTCTTGATTAAGTCTAAATTAGGCTTTCAAACTTAATTATTTACTAATTAAGTTTTTAATAAAATTTATTTGACCCAATAAAAGTATAATTAAGTCATGACATCTAATTAAATGTTTTTTTTTTACTCAAATTATTCTTAAACATAACTAAAATTTTAATTTGACCAATGATTAAATTAAATTGACCTATTTAAAATCTAATTAAATCCTTTGACTTAATTTTTATGTAGATTCATCTAATAATTATTTAATTTAACCTTGAATTTGTATTGTTTCTTTGGTCTTGGGTACAATAAGGTGTGATTAGGCTTTCAATTTTGTCTAAAACTCTAGTTTGATTCTTCTATATATTTGAAACCCTCCTCAACTTGCTTTTGTTAAGTTTCTGGTTTTGTTGTTGTTGTTGTTATTATTATTGATTTTTATTTTAAAAGAAAAAAGATAATTTTTTTTCAAAGAGGAACCTAAAAATAGGTTTTGACACCCTTCAAAGTAATAAGAACTAGCATCCAAGGGCTTTTTCATACTGTCACCCTGTTTTTTTAGTTATAATCAAGTCAATCAAGAGATAATTTGGTATTTTAATAAATATAAAATATACTTAAAAAATAAAAAATGGTTGGTGTGTGTGACACATATGTTAACGTGTAGAGAGCTGTTGTTGTCTTTAGATGACATATGAGGCATCTCCTGACAACTAAGCATAGATTTCACGGTGGTTTTGAGAGCATCACATCGAGCTCTTCTAGATGGTGGGGTGCGGAAGATCAATAAAGGGACTTTGACAAACTATTTTTCCTCTCCTCTCTCTTTTCTCTCTTTTCGCCTAGAGTTTTGTGTCTAATATTTCAAGAATATAATATGCTAAAAAAAACTTTAAATTTATTAACCTTTGTTTACCTTATGTAAAAACCTTTTATTTTGTCATTCAAAACAACATCAAATACAATGCCAAGAACTCCAATCCCAATCAAATGTGTTTTTGCAAATTCCAATTCCAATATCTCATATCATTCAACCAACTCAACTTTCACTAATCGCTAAACTTGCTTTAATTTTTCTAATTCATTAATTAACAATCACATTATTATGATTTATAAAAATGACATCTGATGAGGTTGGTTACCTTGGAGGAGGAGTAGGAGACAAGCATAGTTAATGGTAGGGGTGAGCAAAAAAACCGAGAAACCAAGTAAACCGAATAAACCGAGAAAAAAACAACCAAAAAAACCGAACCGAAAAAAAAAACTGATTTTAAAAAAAAAATTATAAAAATTTTCGGTTCGGTTCGGTTTCGGTTTATGAAACTGGAAATCGGTAAAACCCCAACCGAACCGAACCGGTTCTGTTTAAGGGGTACTATAAATATGAAAAAAAAAACACTTTTTAATTTCTAAAACCTAATTAACCTAGACTCCTTGCAGCTGCTCCCTCAAAATCTTATTTGACCCAAAATCCTCTATGTAAATCAAAGCACAAATCATTAACGACCACTTCAAGATCTGTTCACTGCAACTCTTGATTTCACACAGGCTAGATCTTTACGTGCTTTAGTGATTAAAAGACTTTAGCTTTTTAAGGTTTTTTAATATAAAGTTTGGATTTTTATTCATGATGTTTGTGTTTTGTTTTTTATTATTTTATTTCTTGCAAATCTGGATTGTTTCTGATAGAACAACATTTTGGAACTGAAGTAAGTAAGCAGATCCTTTTCAAGATTAGATGCATGTACGTAGATTTTAATTTGTAGATTTTAATTTACAAATAGGTGGGCTCGATTATAAGCAATTAAATAGAATTTTGGATTGATCAATTTCAGCTGTTCTTTGACATGACTTCAATCCTATCAGTATAATCACACATGGGGTATCATCATCGATGATGGAAGTTAGAATCATTAATGTTAAAGAATTAAGAATATTACATCTTATCAAACTTTGCCCATGTTAATTGTTAATATTACAGCCCCTTCCCTGCATGTGTACATGGCTAAGTATTTAATAAATCATTTTTGTATTTAGCCAGTGTTGTTTTTGCTTTATAATCTATTTTTTAAATTAAATTTCATAATTTTTTTCTTGTGCTAGTCATTAAATTGATATATTTTTATGTATTTTTTTTATAATTTTAATATACTGATATAAAAAAATATTTTAATATATTTTTAATTAAAAAATATAGTAGTAATATACATTAGCACTTTGGCTCACAAAAAGAGTTAGTCTTTTCTAGTCTTTGCTGCATGCCAACTTTATGCAATGAAAAGAGCAATCCATATCCTTAAAACTAACTATCCATTTGATTTCTTATAAATTAAAATCTACGTATATGTATTTAAGTTTCTATTAGTTTGATAATTTCTTTGAATTTTAGTACATTTAAGTCTATTATAAATTATGGGTTTTTAAGTTTTAACATGTTTTTGTGATAACAGATGGAAAATATTCAAATTCAAAATGCTTCATCCACGAGCACAACACCAACATCAACCACTTCTCCAACTTCAAAAACTAACACAGAATCAACCAATGCAGGATCCACCACATACACAAAAGGTAAACAACCCGAAGTCCTTATATCTAGGAAAAGAAATGTTGAAGATAGAAAAAAGTCACAAATTTGGGATCACTTTACAAAACTTGATGTTGATCTTAAAGCCCCTAGAGCTGAATGTAATTATTGTGGAAAACATTATGCATGTCATACTATTGTTAATGGCACAAGTAATATGTGGAGTCATTTAAAAGTGTGCAAGAAGTT